TAGAGGTTGTCCCTCCTCGACCAACATGACAATCTTTGCCTTTTATTTAGTTTGCTTAACCTATTCACAAGGAATGTTAACACAGATAATGCTGAGGGGGGAAAGTCTGTTATTTTTAACAGTTAGGTAAAGGTAAAGGTTCCCCTTGACATTTAGTCCAGTCGTGTCCAACTCTAGGGCATGGTGCTCATCCCCGTTTTCAAACCGTAGAGTCAGTGTTTTGTCTGTAGACAGTTTCTGTGGTCACGTGGCCAGAGCGACTAGACATGGCACACTGTTACCTTCCCACCATGGTGGCACCTATTTATCTACTGCTTTAAACTGCTAGGTTGGCAGGAGCTGGGACAAGCAATGGGAGCTCACTCTGTCGTGTGGATTTGATCTTACGACTGCTGGTCTTCTGACCTTGCAGCACAGAGGCTTCTGCGGTTTAACGCACAGTGCCACCACATCCCCTACTTTTAACAGTTACCTTTGTCGAAACTCTTCAGTGTACCCAATAAATTTTTGACATCCTTTTCTTTTGAAGGAACAGACACACCTCATAGTACTATTAATCACCGCTTCTAGAATCCCCGTCAATTTTACAAGAGGAGTTTATATGGCATGTGGGGGTGTTTGGGGAAGGAAACTCCAAAGGGATACTGCAAGGCATTTGCTGCCTGAGCTGGTTCCTGATGTCAAGTCACATGGTGCCCAGAACCAACCAAGTTATTTTGGTGCCTGAGCTGTACATCCAGTTGTATATTTCAGGGGAATCAGATCATTTATCAGGTCAAGGAACCCCAGAAAGGGAAGTTTTTAGGGGGAGGAGTTTAAGACTGATCAGGAGGTCATGATGAATGTTGTCTCCTTACATTAGTTTATTTAATAGCATACTAGCACACAGCTACCCTTCTATTAATGATACAAGAAGAACTCTAAATGACTGGTTCTACAGGTCAAAACAAAGAATAGGATGCCATCATTTCCACCACTGTGCTCAGGCTAATATAATAAGCCAAAACATAATTTGCCTTACCACCTCCAGTGGACAGAGCGTGATGCCATTCACAAGTCTGAAAAACAATACCAGCATTGTCTTCAAAGAGAGGCAGATAAAGGAAAAACAGTTGCCTCTCAGCCTCCTGTAAGTAGTCCAGATTTTACATGGCCAAATTCAAACAGATGGATCACAAGATCCTTGGCTGGTCAACTACTATTCAAAAGACGCAAACCAGGCAATCCTGGAAGACTCATTGTATCAAGTATTAATGTCACCGTTGTTGGGGGTGTCTGAATACAGTATATGGTTTCTTCCCTCAAGCCATATGCTCCCAATGCATCTAGCTATATAAAGGGAACCACTGACTTCCTGAGGAAACTGCCATCGATCCGCAAGCTCCTAGACGACAGTATCCTAGCTGTCATGCAGTCACTAAACATTGTGACTCTGTACTCATACACAGTTACTTCATCTTGGGCAACTATATGTATCTCCAGATTAATGGCCTAGCTATGGGCATACATATGGCACCACAATATGCAAAATACTCGTGGCTGACCTGGAAGAATTCTTTCTCAGCTTCTGTACCCAAAGATCTGTCCTTTTTCTGAGAAGCATGGTGACATCCATCATCTGAATTATGGAAAAGACTTGTTTGAGATATCCTACAGAACTTCAGTAACTTTCCACTATTAACCTCTGCCTAGATCAATCTTCAAAACAGGCACACTTTCTGCACACCACCACACAACAGACATCAAAGCACCATATTTCATTAATCATTAGCTGCCCAGAATAGTACAAAAGACCAAGAAAGAAATGAATATTGCATCAAAGCCTATCATTTGTTATACATACTTAAATATCTCCACCTTCCACCCTGAGCCCACTATAAAATCTATTATCTACAGTTGAGTCTTCTGATATGGTAGTTATCTACTTAGATCCACATTATGAGACTCAAAATTCATAGATATACAGCAGGTCTCTCTTAAACTACAATATTAATACAAGGCTATAAAAACAACACATTGAAAAGGCAGGATGGGTGCCCAGAAATAACCTACCATGAGGCAGACCCCAAAGAGATAATGCTTTCCAGATGAGACCATTCACATGCTTCATTACAACGATCTACAGCCCATTTTTAACAATAATACTTCCACCTCCCAAGCTATAGTTTGCCAGCCTTTACAGCCAGGTCCTAATCTGAAATAACTACAGACATCCTTCCACAACGTGGAAAAGGTAAGAGGAACAAGACTGTGTTTGGAAACTACGTACTATACTTCTAAGAGCATCACAGGCCCCCAGAACATCACAGTAGAGGTTTTTTTACTTGTTCATCTGCTAATGTCACCTATGCCATCAGTATCTACTTTCTGAACGCTTTAACCTACCTGGACACACTTTTACATATCACAGACAAACTCGTTCCTTTCCTATACACGAATCTTAACCTCAGCACAACTTCTGGAAAAGAGTTCTGTGGTTACCTACTTCAAAAAACGGCAATCTGCCACTAGCTCAACTGACAGAAAAAGTGCTACAAGGGGGTGCTGATAAGTACTGAGCCTTTCCCAAAAAAAAAAAAAAATGAATTAGGAAGCTGTAACTGCCACCCTATTCTACACATTCCCCCAGGAAGGCAGTGCACTTGTGACATCTGTCCTGCAGCTTCTTAAGTTCCTGCAAATAAAATTCTTCTGACTGCTGGTGTAACCACTCATTTGCAGCATTAGTTGCCTCCAGAATACTCCCAAATCGTTGTCCCTTTAGATGTTTTTGAGTTTGGGGAACAGATAATAGTCAGAAGGAGCCAGGTTGGGATAATAAGGTGGATGGGGCATCACTTGAAAACCTAAGGAGTCAGTTTTGCCATTGTTTCACCTGCAGTGTGTAATGAGGCATTGTCATGCAACAGGATGACACCTTTGGAGAGCTTTCCTCCATGTTTTTCCTTGATGTTTTTCCTTAACTTCGTCAATAAAGCACAGCAATATTTTGCATTGATGGCTGAACCCTGTTGGAGGTAGTCCACCAGCAGAACTCCCTTCTTATCCCAAAAAACTGTTGCCATTTGCTTCTGCACCAACCTTTGCACTTGGAACTTCTTTGGCCTGGGGGAACCACTGTGCCTCCATTCCTTAGATTGTTCCTTTGTCTCAAGATCGTAACAGTAGATCCATCTCATCACCAGTTACCAGTTTGCTCATTTCTTGCAAAATGTTCCAAAGCAGCCACTGATGACTCCACACATTTCCTTTTTTGTTTAGTTGTCAAAAGTTTGGGGATCCACTTTGCTGCCAGCTTTATTTCCAAGTCGTTGTGGATAATGGCACCAACTCTTTCACATGATATTGTCAGATATATAGCAATACTTATGGCTGATATATGGCAGTCCTCCATGATCATGTAATGGATGGCTTTCACATTTGCAGGCACAGAGACAGAAACAGGCCTTCCACTGAGTTTCTCACTTTCAATACTGAAATAGCCAGTTTAAAAATTGACAACCCAACGTTTAACTGTTGCATATGAAGGGCCACTGTCACCCATAGTTTGTGACATTTCATCATGGATCTGCTTTGCACCTTTCCCTTGGAGAAACAGGAACTTGATTATGTTCCTATGCTCTTCCACATTGAACTTTTCTGGAGGTGCTGCCATGTTCACTTTGGACTT